TCCTGGCGGTCCTTCTCTCGGTCCTCTACTTCCAATTCCCTGATCCGCAGCTGGATCTCCAGGCGCCGCAGCTCCGCTGGGCTGGCCCCTGCCCTAGATGGGCTACTTGCAGGCCTCCCGGGGGGCGCTGTCTCATCTCTCCGGTGGGTTCCAGCGCTCCTCCCCCTCTCTGAGCCTGACACACTCTCAGGGGGGGTCTGGCTGCCTCCCCTGGGGACAAGATCCTGGCCCTGTGGCTGGTCATTCTCTTCCAGCTGGGTAATCAGCTGGGCCATGGCTGCTTTCCGCACAGGCAAGCCCCTCTCTCTGCACAGCCCCCCCAGCTCTGCTTTCAAGAGTCGGGCGTAGGCCATCTGCCCGCTGGTCCCCTCGGTGCAGACTCACCATCTAGTGCTGCATTGCCCCACGATTCCCAGGAAACGCTTCGCTCTGTCTCCAGCATGCCTGGCTCCAGGGCTCTTGCTTCTACGGCGCCTTGTCGCTCGCCGCTGGAAGCTCCATCCATGGGGTGCAGTGCATCCCATCCCTGACACCAGTGTTACGGCGCGTTGGGGGTCCCCCGTCTCCTGCACCCCGAAATGGCACAAACAGACTGCACCAGCCGGTGGAATAGAGGAAGTTTATTGCCTCTCCAGGATACAGCACAGATGTAATCTGGTCACAGAGCTGGGCTAGGATGCCTCAGGCCCCCTTGAGATGGGGGAGACTGGGCCCCTAAACTCCAGCCCCTTTCCCTAGGCTGTCTCCTCCATGCTCCCAGACAGCAACTAACTACCCCTCTTCCAGCCCTGCCCCCCAGCCAGGGCAGCATTCCACCTTCCTTTGTTCCTCTCTATGGGGGGTGTCTGGCCATACTGGTTGAGAGGTCCCTTTGCATAGTGACTCATCCTGTTTTGCTGGGTCGTGGTACCCACGGCAGCCAGTGGGGGGTACCCCAGAGCCAGCAGCATAGAAACCAGCCAGGTACCCCCACTACGTCACAGTCTGTAAGGTGCTGCAAGACTATTTGTTGTTTAAGTTTTTCCAGTTACAGACTAACTCAGCTACCCCTCTGAAGTATTAGAAAGTTATTCATTGCTCTAAGGCTACGTCTACACTACAAGGTTTTTGTGCAAAAACCCATGGAGTGTCCACACCTTAAGTGTGCTTTTATGCAGGGAAATTGACAGTAAAATGGCAGAACAGAGGGCTTTTTGCGGTGTAGGTAAACCTCCTTCTATGAGGCAGAACTCCTTTTTGCGCTACCGCTGTTGCACAAAACGGCATGTGTGGACACTCCGCAGGGTTTTTTTTTGCGCAAATACAGCCTATCTGAAAAAGGTGAATGGCCATCAGAGCTTTCTTGTGCAAGAGTGTTCATGCAGTGTGGATGCTCTCTTGCGCAAAAGCAATGTGATTTGAGGTGTGGACGCGCTATTGCGCAAGAAGCCTGTAGTGTACACTTAGCTTAAGATGAGAACTTAGCTTAACTAAGTAACATTATCTCAGCAACACAAGGCATTTCCATTTACGGTTGTATGCAGGGTTCCTGCAGGCACTTAGGCAGCCCTTTCCATTTTTCTAACGTCACACAGGTGTGTACTTTTTCATATGAAACGGAAAGCTGGATTTGCGCCTATGTTTACATGTTGTGTTTGCAGCCTGTGACCAGCAGCCTGCACTTCACAGTAGAATTCAGTAGAGTTCTACATGTTGTCAGGAGTTGAATGACTATCAGGAAGAGGAAATTTCACAGGTGAAGCTGTTTCTCTTTTATGTTATTAGTTAATCCCTAGGAGAAAGAAGTACTTGACCAAATAGTGCAGTTGTCTAATGCCAACTTGAGGAGTGATTTAAAATCCAATTTTCTCCTTAACTCAGAAAATGGCAGAAAAACAATTCAATGAGAGTTGTGTCTTTACACCAGGACTGAATTTGACATAGGATATCCAGCCATATTTCCCATCAAACGTCATTAATCTATCTACTTATACAACCATCATCAATATCGTATCCGCATGCCTGCCTATTATAATGTTAATATGTATTACAGTAGGGGTCAAATTATTACTCTGGTTTATTACTGTGGTGTCTAAGGGCTCATTGTGCCAGGTACTATACAAACACAGAGGGATAGCCCATCTCTCTGCAAACACTGTATAATCTAAATAGGAGAGTAAAGAGGCATTATTATCCCCATTGTGCTGTTGTATCACTGAGGCACAGAGAGATTGTGTGACTTGACAGAGCGCTCTGGAGCTAAAACTGCTTTTGCTGAGACAGTCTCTTTCACCAACCACAAAATTACTCTTCTGCTCATCTTCCTACTTCTCTGGATTCCCTTTTGAGCACAGTCCATCCCATGGTTCATTCAAGCATCACTGCAGCTGTCAGGCCATTGCTATGCAGACCATGATGCAATGTCCACAGTTATTTTTAGCATCGCTCAAGAGGCGCTAGGGTGAGTCTGTCTCTCCAGGCAGGGAGGTGTGCTTCCAGCTGCAGCGTACACATATCCTAAGTGATTTAGGAGCCACGGTCCTACTGTCTTTCAATGGGACTGTGTTCCTAAGTCATCTGGGCAATGATGAAAATCCCAATAACAGCTATCAGGACCGAGGGTCACCAACTTACGTCACCTCAGTCACGCCTGGACTCAGCTCTCCAGAAGAGAAAAAAATTATTGCAGCCCACCAATACTTGAGTAAAAATGAGCAGGATTTACATTGTGAAACAGGAAGATGCTGGCTGGGATGATTTACTCTGCCAAACTGTTACTGCAGCTGAGTAGGAAGTGAAACAGCATTTGCCTTGCACTCTGTTTCACAGAAAGAGGGTGGAAGGGGTGGGGGGAGCCAAACTTGGTTACCATTCATCTTCTGACATCAGAAACCCCCGGTGCAGCATGAGAGGCTGCCTTCACGAAATCCCTGATCAAGAACATGAAGCTCCTTCCCCTCTTCACGGCTGCATCCTGCCTCACGCCCCCGGGTCCCCTCTTCTTCGTACGACAAGCGATGAAGCTTTTTTTCCAGATCACATGAGCCAGGATGAGGGGGGAAAATCCTGGTAGGAACGGAGATGGGCTGCGAATGCGAATCTGAGGTAGTGGAGATTCGGAGAGATACACCGAGAGCTATATAAGAATGTGCTCCTCGCAAGAGCAAACATTTTTCCAGGTGAATGATTCTCACGAGGCAGACATGACCATGACTGAAGAGGCTGTTTCAAGGCGGCTCAGCGCCATTAACAAAACGTACTTCTATTTCACCACGGCTTCCCTTGCGGTGTGCCTCGTCTTTGCTCTCGCAACCATCATGGTCTTAATCATTCAAAGGAAGGTAAGTCTCTGTCAGCTTTTCTCTTTGTTCTTTTTTCCCGCCCGCTCTCTAAAAAGGGTCTTGCCACTGGAGAGTCAGTCACCACCCTCTAAAACTATAGATTAGGATCATTAAAGCAAAACAGGAGAAGACAAAAAGGAAATGTGACAAGGATTGATTTCCCAAAGTTCAGTACTACTTTCTGGTGCACATACCATGCTCCAGGACATGAACTATCAAGCATTGCTAGGTGAGTGCATTATCAAGCACAGGTTCTTACTGTGGACTTCTTATCTCTTCCTCTGATGCATCTGGTTTGGCCACCACCAGGGACAGGACACGGTGAGCTGGACCCATGGTCTGATCTAGCATAGCGTTTCCTACTGAACTGTGCTGCATTCCAAACTGTGCTATTGATTACTTTGATCTAAGAAACCTCTGTGTATGGCACCATCTATTTACAGGGGCTTGTAGCTTACAGAGCAGGGGGAGCACTATAGGTCAAAGGCATTGTGAAAGCATTCAGATTTCAAGTGAATTAACAGACAAAGAGAGAAGGAGACATCACTGGAGAGGCCACTGAGATAGGGAGACGCAGAGAAGTCATTCCAAACTGGCCCAAACTATAGAGAATTAGGCTCTTGAACTTAGTGTCAAGCTTGGGGGAAGGAAAAAGAAAGTGGGGAGGTTCTCACTGCAGATAAGGAGCAAGAAAAAACGAGGGACTTTGCAGTAGACTGGGGACCAGCCTGTGGAATATATTGAAAATAAAAGAAGGCAGCTCTGATCTGGATCTCAGACTGAATGGGGAGCCGATGGTGTGTCGCAGATAAAGGTGATGGGGCTAGTTTTCTCTGTGCAGTTAATTCTGGACAGAGGGGATAAAATCTCAAAGCTGTTGAAATCAATGGGTGTTTTGCCATTAACTTCAGTGGAGCCTGGCTTTCACACAGGACGGTTGCAAATCATATTATGAATCCCAAGTACTGAAGACCCACCAGTGCACCCATTAGAAGGAAAACTACAATAGCTAAAGACCTGACTTTATGGGAGAAAGTTGAACTGAAAAATGATGCCCGTCATGTTCTTTCCTCTTGAATGACGAGTGTGCATGGATCTAGCTGGAATTGACCTAAAAATGAAACCTTGGGGTCTAATTCAGCTCTCTTTTACATCTGTGTAAATAAGGAGTCCGGTAATTGAAATCAAGGTTGTTACACTAAGGTAAAACCAGTGTAAGCATAGTCAGAATGAGACTCGGGTATTTTAATATACTAATCAAACAGCAGGCCATTAAGGTAACACAAACAATAATGGATTGGTTAATTACTGCAGAGTTCCCCCAAAATATTGGTTCCAGTAATTAGCTCTGCATCAGGATAAATACTGTTACACTAAATCCTAGAGGAATGATAATCAAGGATTAAGGTTGTTCATTTCAAGGGTAAATGGTATCTCAGTTGTTTTGGAAAGAGAATGTTGAAAAGGAGAAAGCAGGAAGTTGATAGCTCAGGTGTGTGATGCAGAGAATTGTGCTGCAATTTTATTCCAAGATCCTGAAGAACTCAACATACTAAAATCATCTTCTTGGTTTCCCTTTACTTTCCCTAAATGAGGAAGTGACTAACCTTCAAGCCCAGACAATGCACTGTTACTCCTCACGAGCGGTTCCTCAGTGGGACGTGCTTCTCATTTGGAACATGCATTTTCCCTCATGTGCCCACTCAGTGCAAGATGGGACAGGAGTTCCTGTGAGAGCTACGTTTGTTGCTGTTGAGTTAGGGGAGCCGCTAGTCTAGGTGCTTTCTTGAGTGTACCCACAAAACAAGTGTTGGAAGGGCTCAGTCCTGGGACAGGTTGCACCCAACTATGGTGCTGGATCAGATCCATGGGATCTTTTGATTTTTCTCTCAAGTGGTTTTTTTTTTTTTGGTTGGATTGATAGATTTCCACAGGTATACAAGGCAGTTAGGTAGCTAATGCCTGTTGACAATCATTTGTGCTTGTGAAAACCTCCCTCTTAACAAATTTCTACAAACTCCTTCACCCCCACCCCCACCGGTTTAGGTTCAGGGACCTTACATAAGGTGAAATTCAATTAAAAATAAGCACAGGAGCTTGGACACGTGAAATTGAAGTGCCCCAAACATGAATTATACATCACTTAGGTCCACATTAAACAAACACCAATAAATCCAGTCAGCCCCCTGGATCTAATATGAATGTAATGAAGTAATAAACCATCCTAGTGCCTTTCATAGTGCACCAAAAAAATCTTCATGCCCATTTCTCTAGAGTCTTAGCAGTATACATTTAGACTCCTTGGAACTATGCATTGGGACAGAGTCAGCTCAGTTCTTTATGCTTCTGCTACAGATACTTTGAGCGCTTTCCAGGTTACAGTCTAGATCTCCTTTAGGAGAGACTGTATTTTTCATGTATCAGAGGGGTAGCCGTGTTAGTCGGAATCTGCAAAAGTGGCGAGGAGTCCTGTGGCACCTTATAGACTAACTTATTTTCAGTTAGACCTACACTTCAGTTAGTCTATAAGGTGCCACAGGACTTCTCGCCGCTTTTGTATTTTTCATAAAGTGGAAGGATTTGCCATGGGGGTGGGAAAGCGTGGACAAAATTTCTTCTTCTTACGGCAGCTGTGAGAGACTAATGCCATAAGTTACACAGTTGTGCCAAAGTGTTGCAGTAAATGTCACAATTGTGGGCCCCCCTACTCATCTCTGCTTGTATTGTATCAGCTGTGATAGCTACACACTCTGACAGGACAGGTAGATGACCTCTGGGGGGGATCTAAATCCTTATGTATCTCACCTGATAGGTTCCCCCCAAGAGTTGTTCACCCCTCTTACAGCAATGATATAAAGTTTTCTATGCATGTACCCCAATAATTATATAGAATGATCTAGTTTTTGTATGTGTAATAGTTGAAATTCTAGAACCATTTCACCAGCTGGACTTCACAGCCCGGTTCTGTACTGACCAAAAGTTGTTCCCATCTGATGGCTGTTTAGTACACTGTCTAACCTGACTTCTAAAAATGTCTCTCCGCTTCCTATAGGGACACACTGCATTAAAGAGTGCCCTCTTGTGGGCACACATGGCAGA